GACAGACTTGTTTGGAAACCGAGCTCCTATCGGGGCGCTGAGCCCCACCCGGGCGGTTCGCAGCAATTTTTAAGGGCGTTCTGGCGGCACCCGGAGAAAAGTCTCGTTTTGAACACCTAGCGCTGGGACGCGGCCACGGCCGAGGAGTTCGGGCAGCTGGGCTCCTCCCGGCTTGGGCACCCCAGCTGCTGGATCTTCACCCACTTGAAAAAAAAAAGAAAAAAGAAAAAAAGACCCTTTTACGTGGGATCAGGGCTTGTGCACTTTAACTGGGCCTGGATTTTGCATTTGCACCACAATTAGGTATCTTATCACTTCTGCACGTGGGGTGGTTTAGGGCAGCAAAGATGGTCAAAGAGCTGGAACACCTGCGCTGTGAGGACGGGCTGAGAGTCGGGGCTGTCCAGCCTGGAGAAGGCTCCGGGGAGACCTTATGGCGGCGTCACAGTGCCTGAAGGGGGCTACAGGAAAGCTGGGGAGGGACTGTTTACAAAGGCCCGCGGTGATAGCACAAGGGCCAGTGGTTTTAGAGGAGAGCAGGGTAGATTTAGATTAGGCATTAGGAAGAAAGTCTTCCCTACGAGGGTGGTGAGACACTGGAACAGGTTGCCCAGAGAGGTGGTGGATGCCCCCTCCCTGGAAGTGTTCAGGGCAAGGCTGGATGAAGCTTTGAGCAAGCTGGTCTGGTGGAGATGTCCCTGCCCATGGTAGGGGGGTTGGAACTAGATGATCTTTAAGGTGCCTTCCAACTCAGACCATTCTATGATAGTCTGGCTAGGCTTGTCCCTTTGAGACCCGTGGTGTTTTGGTGTGCGGCATTTATTTTTGCATTTCTGCTGCTGTTAAAACTACGAATTCTTGAGTATACTTCCTTGTAATGAAGGTGAGGCCTGGGCTTTATGAGAGTTTGGAGAGGCCAATCTACAAGTAGGGAAAATGGATAAATATGTAGTTCAAGTGGAAAGCACACAGGGACACCGGTGAACAGTTTTGCGTGATGTTGCATGGTTCTTGGATACATTTTCAGCATAGCTTTAAAATCCAGTAAGGAAAACCACAATGAAGCCACAGATTGACTTGCTTTTTGTTGTGTGAAACTATGCCAGTTCTACAGAAACTGCTGAGAAAAGTCCATGCTGAACTGTTGATTTTCTTGAGAATACTGTGACGTGAGGGGAATCATAGGACAATTTTGGCTGGAAGAGACTGGAAGGCTGTACTGAATTTCTCATAATCCCTAGACCCAGTGCTTGGTCTAGTGACCCAAGCCCTGTTTTGGAAAGGATAAAAGAGGGAGAGAGCAGCTGGACAGATCCAGGTGAGGCTAGACTTGTTTCACTGAGCAAACACCCACTTACCTCCACCCTTCTCACCTCCCCACTAAGGGTGTGCTTTCAGAGCAAGAGTCTTCTACTGCTTTTAGCTCGTCTAGTTTCCCTTGTTTGGTTACACCTGACAGCGACTCCATGCTGAAAGCAAGAAGAGAGATTATCAGCAGCACTGCAAACAATATTATAAACTATTTTATTAATGTTGTTCAAATTATAGGAAATAATGAAGTAATTAACAAAAAGTACATTTATTTTAGTCTTGAATCTAAGACATACTAGTTTTACAGTTTCCTACTCACTAAGTGCATGATTGAAGCACTTAGTGAAGCAAAACCCTTGCTCCATGCAGAGCACAAATTGAACGTGCATTCTGTCCTCATCACATTCTTAACTTTATGGTGTTGATAAAAGGTACCACCTCCATAGGATTGTGGGTTTGGTATGGTCTCATTGGAAAGATACTTCATTAACTCAAACCTCCCATGACAGAAGCATAAATAGTTCTCTGCTTTTTGTCATTACAACTTAATCTTTGCCTGTGAATCATTCTAAAAGCAATTTTTAAGAAGGTCTCAAAGGAGATAAATGCGTGTTTAACTCGATTTGATCACAAGTTATTGCTGGGTGGGAAGACATTGGTTAGCTTTAAAGCTGAAGTGCAGTTATGATTATGTCATTTAAAAAAAAAGTAGTCAATATTAATTTTGCTTCTTAAACACTACGGTATCCATAGTATGACATCACACTCAGTTTCTGTCTTGGTAGCTGCTTAGTGAAATTCATTTGTTCAAGGGAATCGGTCTAATATTTGACTCCTTGTGTTATTTCAGAAGTGTACTCTTTTCTGTGACTAAAATTTGTTTCTGCAATTACATTAAATATTTTGGTGGTTTATATTTTGACAATTTAATAAGCTTATATAACGGAAGTGAAATGTTACAAAATAATATAATTTCTCATAATTAATATGCCATTTTGAAAACAAACTGAGGAAAAATAAATTTGTTTCAAAATAAACTTTGCAGAGGCAAAGTTGTGCTATCTGCAGCGATGCAAGAAAATATATTCTAGCAATCTCATTGTCAGAACTTTGGGTTGCTGTGATGTTAGCCTAACTTTAATGTTTTTTAAAGGTCATCCCTGAGAAGTGGAGAAATGGCTAAACTGACCCAGTTAATTGACAATGAAGTTTTTCGGGCTTATGCTACTTATGCAGTTATTGTTCTTCTAAAAATGATGCTAATGAGTCCTATAACAGCATTCTTCAGAATCAGAAGAAAGGTAAGAAATTGTGAATGCTGTCTGGTAGAATAAACTTGAAATTTGTATTGAAATACAGAGGTATCACAGGTGTTGCTTTTCAGCTCTCAAATACTGGTGCTGTTCTTCCTCCTCCCTCCTCTAATGATATTCTGACTTCGGTGTGCTGGTGCTTTGTTGGTCTCAAATGAAAGATGTCTTTAACCTAATTATGAGATAATTATGAGACTGTATCTTAGAGTTGCATTTGACTTACTTGACCCTTCTAAAACATTTCTGTTACTTTTAAATAAGAGTTTTTCATAACTGTAATTTCCACTGTCTTCTGCAGAAAGCTGGTATCCAGGGTACTCAATTTATAAAGCAGATTAAGTGTGATATGAAGGCATGTTACATGAATAACCAACTAGTAGGGTCAGAAAGAGGGTTATGAAGTGGATTTTTATGCATCTAAAACCCTTTCATAGAGTGATTCTAAAGCTCTTTGCATTCCTTAATTGTTTTAGCCTTACCATTGCAGGTAGGTCATTATCTTAAAAAAAATAGATTTTTTTTTTTTCTAGAATGAGAGGCAGGCTAAAAATTTGTGTTAATTGATATGTAGACTTGATAACTATATGAAAGATCCACTGAGCTTTACTAAATAATGCAGAAGCTGCATCTAGCTTAGGAGAGAGTGCGCACAGGAAACGCTGTATTGTGTTTCCCTTGTTCTGCTCTAGGCAGCTGCCTGCGGCCTGTATTGGAAACACTTGGTCCTGGGCTCGGAGAGCCCTGAGTTTGCCCCATATGGCGGTTCTTGCGAGATCTGCTTCTGCAGGATGATGTGTGCTTTGAGGACTTTGTTGCAATTCTTTCGATGAAACACTGAGTGTTGTTCCTGCTGGGTGCCAGAGAACCTGGCCAAAGCGTTCTGTTGTTCCTGAGGTTCTAATAGCGCAGCATTTGAGCTGCTGGTGGTTTATAATAGCTCTTGAGGTCTCTGACACAGCTGAAAAGGGAGTATAGCAGAGCAAACAGCCTGTCCTGTTGGTGCAAAATAGGACCGAGATGTCTGTGTCATAACCTCGCTTCCTTTTGCTCTTGCAGAAGCACATCAACTGTACTTGTCCCATATGTAGATCCAGTGGAGTCCTGTATTAATGTTATGGTCCACATGTATGCCAGTGATAATAGGGCCTCTGTTAATTTAGAGTACTTCGTTTTCTTCAGACAGACAGTAATATTACAAACAGACAAATTAGTAAAGTCATTTTTATTTCCTATTTGATATAAAGTAGTCTTTATTAAAAAAAAAACAGAGGAAAGCAGTTAGTGGAGTGATAGGTGAAACCTTGCTGATGCTGATACTGTAAATATGTCTCCGGAATTTTGAGACCAAGGACATTTCACAGAAAGGGATCAAGGCTGCCTCAGAAGGCAATCATGTAGGTCCGCTAAAATCAAAAGGTTTTCTTGATTTATGCCTGCATAGCCTGAATGGTCCAAAGACTACATATGTTACTACATTGTCAGCAATGAGAGATCTACTGTAGTCTGCAGTAGCTGAATTAAATGTTTTCAAGTAGTGTCTTCCACTATTTGGAGGTAATAATGGGTCACGTAAGTGGAGAAATTTGTCCCTAAGAGGAAAGAGAGAAACTTACTTGGTCATAAATGAGGGTGGGAGCAAGCCTCTTGGATGCTATTGCTGTGAGACTTCTGAAGAAGGAAGGGGGGGATCCAAAAGGGTTTTCAGATAATTTTTCAACAATAGTGAAGAAGAGACCTGCACGGTACAGGCAGTAGTTCTGCTTTCCAGGTGCCTGTGTTCCGTCAACCCACTGGCATTCCTTCAGACCGAGTATCAGTTAGCTGCCCTGCTTGTCCATCTACAAGAAGGCTTTATCTACATGTGTACATTACATTATATTAATTTGTCAACACGCAAGCTACGTACAGGCTAGGTTGAAGAAAATATAGTAATGCAGTGAACAATATATTATTCCTTGTACATTTAACTTCAGGTGACATGTGTGAGGTTATTAGAGACATTAGTAAAAAGACTGACCTTTGCAGCAAGCTGCCTTAACTAGAAACGTTATTAGAGACATTAGTAAGAAGAGTGACCTTTGCAGCAAGCTGCCTTAACTAGAAAAAATGGTCTGGTTTCTAATGTCTCTTGTGTGTTTATGTTTGAAACAGGCATTTGCCAACCCAGAAGATACAGCATCATTTGGAAAAGGCGAGAATGCTAAAAAATACCTGCGAACTGATCCAGATGTTGAACGTGTGCGCAGGTGATGCATAGGAGTCTTCTAAAAATTATTTTAAATAGCAGAATAATACTAACTCAAGGAATTTATTTAACCCCATTCTCTTTGTCAAGCCTCTGTGTGTTTTGTGTTGCTTTATGTAGTAACCTAATGCATTAGTTTGTTTAAATGAACAGGCCATTCCATATGCAGATGGTCAGCATACATACTAAAAATAATGTCATTGTCTAGTTATAATAGCTAACTCCTGGGTAGTATCCTGGCTGCGTGCGGAAGTGGTGGAAAGACTGTAAAATATGCTGTAAATTGATCTAATATGGAGTGGTGCCCATTAAGTGTAAATCAGCTTTCTGTATAACTTGAACACCAGTTCCAGTAGTTGCATTTTTCCTAAAGCACAAAGGAAATAATGGGGGAGAGGAGTCAAACTGTTAAAGTCATGGAACTCCAGAGATGTAATAAGAGCATTAATCTGGCAGATTGTGCAGAGTGGGAGTCCAAGCCTGTGCTCTTTTTGCTGGATTGAATCGAGGTTACTCACTGATATGTCAGTTGTATGAGAAAGTTGACCAGCCTTCTGAAAGAATGCTGTCAATGGTATGGCAGTGTGCAACCTGTGGTGTATGTATTTTGTTTTGCAAGATTCGTGGCAGAATGTGAGCTGTATTTCGGGGGGCTAAACGTTGCAGCTTATTTAATTTTATTTAGCTGAAAGCAAAACTTTCCGTTACCAAAATGGTAACTTTCAAGATGCTGTTTCATATACCTGTGCTAACGAGGAAAGCTTTAATCTATGATCCTTCCTTAATGAACTTTACGGTGTATTTGCTATATATATATATTTATACCAAAACCTTCTTGAATTGGAATGAGCTGTTCTCATTTAAACCACCGTTAGGGAAGATCTTGAAAGTAAGTACCAGCTCTGATTTCAGAATGGTACATCCTTGCAAACGCAGATGGCTGTGGTTCCATGAAGGCTAGTATATTTCTGTATGTCTCTTCTGGATTACAGTCTCAGAAGAGTGGGCTGTAACAGTGCTCTGAACTTCCCTTTTCTACCCTTGAGTGATTCAGGGAGTTACTAATTGTTTAGTTTGCTGGTTGCTAAACAAAAATGGATGCGTTTTGATGAGGAGTAATTCTTTTCTATTTGTCAATTCTAGCAGGACAACTAAGTTGATACTTGATGACTCGATGCTTTTTTAACTCAAATTGTTACGTTAAAGAAATGACAGTGACCTCACAGAGGCACCTACACAGATTAGATTTTTTAAAACGCTGTATTATAAAGATCGGTGTTGCTGTGTTGTTCAGACTTCCCCAGACCTCGTAAGTCAGCTTTGGTCTAGTTACTCCATTGGTGTTGCAGTATCCATTTTTTCCAGCCAACAGTGGCTCATAATGGAAGTTTATTTTATTTTGTAAGCTTTATGGCAGCAGATAATGCCATGTAGATTTAGCGTGGCTTCTCTTCTGCATAAGTTCCTGGAACTTTCTGTTTGTGGGTATAGAAAAGACATTATCTAGTGTGCTTTTCTTTGGGGGGAAAAAACCCCTAGAGGATATGTTTCCTTGTGGTGATAAATGAGTTCAGAAAGCAGCTGCAAAACAGCACCATGTTCTAATTCTAGTTGGCTGTGAAATTTAACATAATTAGTAAGGCTCAGAGGTTTTTTCAATCAGTAAATTTGGCTGGAAGTATAATTTATCTAAAGAGGTAAAGGGAGCAGAGAAGGTTTAGGAAGAGGCGTGAAAGAATACTTCAAGATCTGGAGTTCAGTCTTAACACATTTTTAGTAAATTACATTATGGTTTCAAAATTTCAAACATTTTTCAGCTATTTTAGTGCTTAGTAGAGAAGAAAATGAACCAAAAGCATAACTGTCACAACTGTTTAGATGCTCAAAAATAACATTTTTCAAGATGATTGAACTTCGTGAAGATTTGACAGTATGTTTCATATATAGGATATTTAATATTTTCTTTATAAAGACTACAAACTGAGTTTATGGGATTGGAATAGACCATCTGGGCCATGGAGTTCAGTAGTTGTGGTCACAGTCATCCAGTTAGTTGATGTTCAGTTGAGAGAGGCTACAAGAAAATTCCACCTGGCTTTCCTTGCATTTGTGTACACTCAGGTGCACTCATATACCTCATGCAAGTCCCTAATACTAGCAAAATCCTGGGGAAGAAATAAAATCTTTCGTACAGAAGATCAGAAGCTTAAAAATATGTGTGTGGGAAGAGAGACCAGAGTGATGCTGGACAAACAGGCCAAAATTGTTTTGAGTACCTCAATCAAGTCCCCACTGCAGAGGGAGCCAAGAGTTGTGTTAGGGTCTCAGCAGTAGCATGCTCTGAGGATGCTGAAAAATAATGAGGCCTGAAGTGATTTATTTAACAAAACATAACACTGTGAAACAACTTTGCTTCTTTCCCCAGAGGCCACCTGAATGACCTTGAAAATATCGTCCCGTTCCTTGGCATCGGACTGCTGTATGCTCTTAGTGGCCCTGAGCTGTCCACAGCCTTGCTGCATTTCAGGATCTTTGCTGGGGCTAGGATCGCTCACACTTTTGCATACTTGATCCC